GAACTTAAGTCAGGAAAAGCCCTAAAATCATTTTTTTCTGCAAAACTTTGTTGTTGAGAGCTAGGAGACGACCCAAGGTGATTCTTGATAGTTTTCCACAACTTCTAGTGCTAATGGTAAGGAAATTACTCCCTTAATCTGTATTTTGATTCCTAGGACTTACAATCTTGGGTAATTATCGTTGGGAGAGGATTTTGGCCTGAAGTTGAAGGTGGGAAAAGCCCTAGTTGAATATTAGGATCTTGGGTTTGGCTTTGGATTGATAGTTTGATTATAATCTGGGTAAATTAGGCCTTGTTTATTGATTCTTGCGTTAATTACTTGTGTTTAGACCAAGAACAAGTGGAAAGAATCTGGAAAGGGAAGGCTCAAGTGTCTTAGGAGGATTCAAGCTTGGTTTCGAGGTAGGTGATGGTTCAATTTCTTGTTTGTGTGATATATGCCAGATAATTGCTTCATTGTATGCATATGTGTATGTGGATCGAATCTAATGAAATGATTATGTGTGAACAACTACATGCCATGAACTGTTACTTGACCATGTGACAATATGTATTATTCATCATAGTGTGGTTGTGGTTGTGATTGTGATTGTGATTGTGATTGTGATTGTGCTGATTAGATTGGGTGTCACGTTCTGACACAATAATAGTTTGGGTATGGGTTCCATGAGAGAACCACTTGTGATTATTATATTCATGTCAACCTGTCATTGATATTGGGAAATTCTTTGTTGCTCCTGAAAAGCTAATTGAACTATGTATTTTGTATATGTGTGTTTACTGTGTTGTAATTTCCTGCTTGTATTTCACTTACTGGGGTAGTCGCGTGATCCTACCAGTACACTGTGGTTGTGTACTGATACTGCACTTGCTCGTTCTTTGTTGAGTACAGGGCATCTTCAGGTGGCTACTGACAGACCTCAGTTAGGAGATCACTGATCGAGACCGAATTCAAGGGTGAGCCAGTTCTTCCAAGCTGCCATGGGTCCTCTATTGTTTAGTCCATTCTTTTTGGACTCAGACTCTATAGTTAGATTTATTCGCATGTTTAGTTCCGGGGTTTCACCCCCTTTCCTTAAACTTGTTGATTGGTAGAGTTTTGATACAATGATTTTCAGGTTCTAGAGGTTGACTTCCATAATATTTTTTTTAATTGTTTATTTAAAACCTTTGGAGTTTATGGGAACTCTGTTTAAAAACAAGTTGAGTATCTTTAAATGTTTAGTTTTTCGTTAAGTTGCTTAGTTGGGTTGTAGTAATGGTTCTCCCACCAGAGGGTTAGTGTGGGTGCCAATCATGGCGGGCTAGGTCGTGACAGAATGGGTCTTATAGATATCAATTGGAAATCATATAGTTTCATCAAAGATGCATAGAAGATTGAAATTTAACAATTAAATCAAAATAATCAAAGACCCATGAAGATTAGATGAAACCATAAGCAATTTAGGTGAAATTAAAGGTGGAAAATTGAGATCTTTTTGGACTCAATGGGTGAATGAAACTCATTGATGAATTCCCACATACCTTGATGACCAGAGCCTAAAAGCAATGGAGGAAAAAAGAGACTTGAAGCTTGAAACCTAGATTCTTCCTTGAAGAATGAAAGGATTTGGAGAGGATGAACTTGGATGGATTCGAGAATTTTGGGAGAGTGAATTTTTTTTTTTTGATGGATTTAGGAATAGAAATATAGTTATAGGTCTTAAAATTAGGATCAAAACAACATAGTATAGGCATTAAATGCATAGCAAAAGACCTAAATACCCTTAAAAGATAACTATTGAATGACACCTAAGACTTTGACCTATGATCCGTAAGAATTCCTACGGACCGTCCTGGTCAGTCGTAGGGTCAACTACTGACAAAAATCCTGAGCAACTGGCACGAGAGCCTTCTACGAATTGATTATTTTCCTAAAGTTCGTAGATCTCTTCCTATAGAACCCTTCTTTTAAAAAATTTACCCAGTGGTAGATCTCTTTGACGGACCCCTTCCTATAGGTCGTAGAACTTTCCACAGACCTCCATGTGATCTATAAGAAAGTTAGAGACTCAAGTTTTCCCATCCTTCAAGACCTTTCCTACGACTCCCTTCTACGGACCGTAAGACTTTCTACAGTCTGTAGGTGGGCTCGTAGGAACTGAAAGAGTGCTAAGTTTCTGCAACTTTTCCTTCCAACTCGACTTTGCAATTTCCGAGGTATTACAGAAGTGATATTTTCTGCTTTTCATATTATGACTACTTTTGAAGCTCAGTTGGTTTATGATGCCTACTAGGTAAATGTTATTTTGGTACTCATACTACAGTCTGCATTTTTTTATCATGATGCAAGTCTAAGCACCATTTACCGGCATGATATCGATCCAACTGCAGGAGGATTTGGAGACGAGGGTGAGCTTGTGACGTTCAAGTTCATATATGTCTCCTTCTGTTTAGTTTTGGCTAGTCTTTTGCTTTTGAAACAACTCTGTATATATTTTGTCTACTTTTGGGACTTGTACTGTACATGTGACCACCATGTTTTGGGTTGGATCTATTTTGGTCTCTCTCTCTCTCTCTCTCTCTATATATATATATATATATGTAGTGGCGGAGTTAGAAATTTTACGAAGGGTGTTCAGAAATTGTACAATAAAAACTCTTTTTAAAAAGGAAATTTTTTTTGTTGCTAGTGAGATTTGAAGACGCAAGGACTAACTCATTCAAGGCATGTGGAACCCATCTAAGGGGTCTAAACCCACTGGGCTACGACACTCTATTATGTTAAAGTTGTCCAGAATATATTATTTAATCACTTTGTATATGGTTTTACTTGTATATACGGTATTTTTTTTCGACGAAGGACACCCTCACATGCACATGGCTACACCCCTATATATATGTGTGTGTGTTCTTGTTCTTATCCTCCAATGTGTCGTTTAATTATATACTGTATTTCTTGTTTTTTGTTATTTCTACCATGTATGTCTACTACTTGTGGTTCTGGGCTTCGGGTTGGTTTACTTACTGATGGATTATAGTAAGTGTCATCATGACTCGAGTTGTTGAATCTTAACAAGGATAAACCTAATTATTAAATAAATGTTGGGGAGTGATTTTTACTCTTTTCCCTTAAATATAAGTATTTTTATGCAATAAACAATATAAATATTTATCAAGTCGGGTAATTTTTCCTAACTTTTTTAACTTTAACTTCAAATCCAAAAAGAAAACCTAACATAATGGAGACTACTCATTTTGTCCTATAGAGAAAACGTTTTATTCTTTTCTGCTTAATTTATGGTCTAATAATAAATAGATCAAATAAAACAAACCCATCTGGTGAACATCAAAATCATTGAATAATATTCACTAGCAAACAAAAGTGATAAAAATCAAACATTTAAAATATGAATTTTGATCGATTTAATTTGTACAAAAAGTACAAGACTTAATAAAAATCCTACCCAAAACAGTAAATAAAATTGAGTGGTGGAATAAAAAAATCATAATAATATTTTTAAAAATAACAATAAGTTAATGTACGAATAAGTGCAAAAAAATTAAACATTTATAATATAGTCATATACCTTCAACAATTTATTTCTTCAACGGACTTTTACTTGACCCATCCAATATTTTTAATTATTAGAGTTTGTTCACTTTTTTTATGTACATCTTTGGAGCTATTGATATATAAGGATATATCATATATGTAACAAATTAAACAGCACAAATACGGGTAAACACATGACTAATTATGTCGGGCCCTACGTCATCAGAACTCCATTATCTTTATACTTGTGTCGTAAAATTATTAAATTTGATACTAGTTATTGAGGTAAAACAATTAGCTCAAAGAAACTCTTAATAATAACAATAAATTAATAGGTGGTCTCAGGACTCATAAGTAAGATTTAAGGAAGGTAAAGTAAACGAAATTTTACTTCTATTTTTACGGGGTAAAAAGGTTGTTTTTGATTGATTCTAGACAAGTCCTTCGTTTTTTTGCCGAATTTGTGACCGACGATATGAATAAGCTCACACAGATTAAATTAAACTATTTTTCATTTATATATATAATTATTATCGAAGAAAATTCAGATGAATCATTTTGACTCCTTAGCAGTCTTGTTTCATTTTTTAGCCTTTGTCCTCTTTAAACATATCAAGGAGTGTAACACTTGTTTATTTCTACATTATCGATCATGTTTACGTTATATTATAAGCTTAGATCATCAAAATGACAATGACTAGCTATTTTTATTTTTTCCAGAAGTGAAAGATTAAATGTATCCCATTTAGTAGTGGGTAAGAACTTTTATCAGGAAGATTTTAAAATATAAAAAGATAAACATGCAAAGAAATTAAAGAAATTTAATATTTACTATATATACATTAAAATAGTGTTGACTTTATATAGATAGTAGTTTTTCGACATCCTCACTCCGCCCTTGACCCTATCATTTGCTCCGGTTTAATCATAAATTTTGTAGTCAATATTTGAAACTTGAAAATTTTAAGTTCTGACATGATTTTTGAAAAGTTGTGTTTGAACATGCAATATGTTTTTTAAAAATTTTTGTAAATGACTGTCTTACAAACCCAAAACCTGACTCTTTTGAGGGACTTGAAAATATTTGACGAACAAATTTCATGAACTACTAGATAAAGTTAAGGATAATTTTTAAGACTGATCCAAAATATAAGTTAAACATATATTTAAAAGAAAAAGTTTAAATGTATTGGTTCAAAATCTAAGCCAAACATATATTTAAATAAAAAAATTTAAATGTATGATCCAAAATGAAAGTCAACTAGATATTTAAAGAAAACATTTAAATGTTTGATTCAAAATCTATGATTAAATGATAGCTTAATCAGCCGAAATTGGAACCTACCTATAGACAACACATATTCCAAAAAAGAGCAACCAATCAATGTGTAAAAAGATCTTTTTCCGACCCTATATATATTCCAAGAAAAAAATCTATATACTTATCAATATACAATATTTGTTTTTTTTGTCAAAAGTCCAAAATAATGGCTACTTCTACTCTTGAAGAAGCTTACAAAGAAAACCCTCTAAGCCTTCAACACATTCTTCCTATAGATTTTCAATCAATCCAAGAAGTCCCAAACTCTCATTTATGGCCTAAAATCAATAATGTACTAACTAGTCATAATGACAAAAACCCCAACGTCCCAATAATTGATCTTTTAGCCCCTAATGTTGTGGAACTTATGGGCCATGCATGCAAAACATGGGGAATATTTCAAGTTGTTAATCATGGAGTTTCTTTAGAACTTTTTGATGAAGTTGAATATCAGGCAAGACGATTTTTTGCTTTGCCTGCTGAACAAAAGGTGAAGGTCATGAGATCAACTAGTGGCGCCACCGGCTATGGCACAGCTCGAATTACGCCGTTTTTCTCGAAGTTCATGTGGCATGAAGGGTTCACAATTATGGATTCACCACTTGATCATGCTAAGAAACTTTGGCCACATGACTATCATAAATTTTGGTAAGTACATGGATTGATTTTATGTGGATGTACTTATATGCATTAATGATACAATAAATATTTATATAATAAAGTTATTTAGTAGATAATTCTACGCAATAATTATATTTCTCTCATGATAAACATAAATTTAATTATATTGAGACAATTTTACTTTCAGAAATCACGATAAATAATTTGAGACGCAGGGAGTACTATAAGGGTTCTTTATTTTGATTATTTGTTTTGGTTCTTGCAGTGATGTGATGGAAAACTATCAAAAGAAGATGAAAGTTCTATCCTTTCAACTCTGCCTGTTCATCCTCAACTATTTACAACCATCTCAAGATCAACATTCAATTAATTCATTTGAATTTGCAGGAGCCCTACAATTAAATTCATATCCATGTTGTCCTAACCCTAACCATGCACTAGGGTTAGCTCCTCACACAGATTCATTATTCCTAACAATACTCCATCAAACAAATAATACAAAGGGTCTTCAAATCTTGAAAAAAGACCAAGGATGGACTTCAATTGCTCCGGTTTCCAACGATGCACTCATCGTTAACGTAGGTGATCTTCTTCATATACTCTCTAATGGTGAATTCCCATCGGTTTATCATCGAGTTCTTGTGGATCAAACTAAGCATAGGGTTTCTTTGGCTTATTTTTTTGGACCTCAAGTTGACTCTATGATTTCTCCATTAGTTTCTTCTAAGGATAATGATGGTGTTGTACTAAAATATAGAAATGTGAAAGTGAAAGAGTATCTTGGTCTCAAGGCTAAACATCTTGAGAAGGTGTTCTCTATGATTAGATTTTAATTATGTTATAGTATTTTAGTACGTAGCTGAGTTGATTGACTACATAAACTTTTATTTTATCGGCGAGGATTTGATTTCCATCTTGTAATCTGCTCACCATCCTTTCCCCTCTCCCTACCCCTACCCCTACCCTTACCCCAATTTGATAAAATAATATATGACGTTTTTCTAGTGTTCATAATTTTGAGTAATGTGATCTTTGGTGTAATTCATATATACCATGAAAATTATTTGTAGTTTCTACTCAATTTACTTGTTTAATTTTAAAGTTTACACTATGAAAGTGTGTGACCCTCTCAGTGAAAAACTTAAATTTTGAAAGAATATATATTTATTTAGTTAATTGTATTTTTAATATGTTCCTCATATACAAATTTTTTCATGAGTTAAATACAGGATCTTTTTTGTAATACTATTAAAACATGACAATGAAATTCGAAATCCAAATTCTTATTTACGCCTGCACTATAATAACGTACATGATCATCTCATGTAAAAAAATTAAAGCTATTAATATAAATACAGTACTTTTACTTAAATATGTACTCAAGATACATCTGTATATATCAATAGGATTCATGAAAATGAAAAATAAATTAACAATAAATTCGTCAAGTTGAAAAAAGAAAGAACCACCTAGGAATTTACTCATTTCCAGCTTGACATATTTTTAGAGCAACATTTTCGAAAAAGACAAAGGAAAAAACTTAAAGAAAGAACTGTGAAATTGCGTAATTAGATCTAGTTATTTCTTGTCTAATCACGTCTAATAAGTCCAAAATAAATCACTTCAGGCCTAGTCATAGGTAGCTAGTTTATATTTCATATTACTAATAAAATGATTTTTGAAGAGTTGATAGATGAGACAAAAAAGATCTAGTATTAGTTCAATAACTCCAAAGAAGATAAAGCTTCCAAATCCCCCAACCCCACCCCAACCCCATCCACTAACTCCAGAAAACTATTATTAAAAATTAATATATTCGTAAATATTTCATCGTAAATTTTTCAATATTTTTTACTTTAATTAGAATTTATAAAATTTGAAATTAAAGACGTGTTTTGATTTTACTTTTCGCAAAGAAAAGAAGAAATTATTTTATTTAAAATTTATGACTTCTTAGTGTCCTTAATTAACTCGAGGATTGTATGATTTGAGAAATAAAAAAATACAATCCAATTGAAAATTCAGAATTAAATTTATAATATTTATTTCACATTTGGTTGAATTATTTATGTCCCAAAACTCATGTGCTGGAATAATCTCAAATTTATAATCACGGGGATTAAATATTAAATTGACACATTTGTCATTTTCTAAATCTCTTTTTCACAAAAGCGTATTAACAGATACGGCTGAAGTTAAAATAAAAAATTTACCTTGTTTTATCTAAATTTAAATCAAATACATACTTTACATTATATATGTATGTATATATTAATAAAAGATATATACATTCAATAAGTAACTTCGTTATTTAGAGATGTCAGTTAGATTAGGCCCAGCGAGGACAAACTATCAAATTTGATGGGCCAAGATGGGCTAGCCTACCATTTCGACAAATTTAGGGAAACTTACGCAAATAGCCACCATAATAAACTTAATTATGTTTCATAGCTATAGTTTGCATATTTACGGGTTCTAGCTACAGTTTAAGCTGCTTCGTTTGTATAATTCGCAGGTTTGTATAATTCGCGGGTACATTTGTATAATTCAGTTATTTTTGTATAAACTCGAAGTACAAATTTATACAATTACAAACATCAGAAGTGTAAAACAGTTATACAAATTATATTATACAAAAGTTATACAAATTATATTATACAAATTCTGAATTATACAAACGTGCGAATTACACAAAACTAAAAAGTTGAGCCGCGTAATTATAGCTAAAAGTAGGTCATGAATTGTAATTAAGGCAACTGTAACTATGTTAACTAATTAACTAGTATATGTTTGCTTATACACGTAATTTTCCCATGTTTATATGACTTGTATAAAATTGAAAAAATTACATAAATACACATCTTAGTTTATCGGTGGATTTCAGCTCATCCACATCTCGGTGCAACCTAACAATATCGGCCTTCAAGGCCATCACATCCTCAGAGGCACTTTGTCCCTTCTCACAAGCCTCAACTCTCACGGTGAGGGCATCTAGTGCTAGTCCATGGGCATCAATCCTCTCATAATGCTCTCTCAACTCACCCCTGATCGGGGCTAGGGCAACAACAATCGCCCTCTCAATCATCTCAGGGACCGCAACCTCTACCCGGGAGGCACAAACATTAGTAAAGTGGGCCAGGTGACCCATCTTGTACAACATGGCCTGGGTGATTGGGGATCGGGAAGAAGCAGCAGCAGCAGTAGTAGTAGGAGGGGGAGCAGTAGAAGAACCACAAGTGGCAGAAGTGGAAGTGCTAGGGATACCTGTAGGATCACTAGCCTGAGGAGGAAGAATTGCCTTTATCGGTAACATATCCACATCAACTATCGGGGAAGTATCCAATGGTGCAACTCTCATCCGCTCAACCTCATCCCTCGTGTACTCAGCCTCTATCCACCGGATGTTCGTAGAGGAAGTGGGGGTTACATCCATGTCAGTCTTCTCAATCAACGATACCCGAGCACTCCTGCACAACTCTTTGATCAACACTAGAAATGGGAGGGAGGTCTTACTCTGCTTGGACCTCATGGACATCTCCTGATCATTATGGTCAGACCGAGACTAAGTCACTCCCGATCCATGATACAACCCAGCAATGTAGCCTTCGCATGCCTAACAATTTACTCGTTCAGGGATGCCATTAGGGTACTACTGAGGAACCCAAACTAATACTGGGCAGGCACGTTCAACTCCTTCTTCTCTATTGGAACACCAGCCTCAATCCATCGTGGTGTGGTGTCAGAAATTTGAGGTGCTAGCCAACCGTTCAAATCATCTAGGGTCTTTTTCTATATTCGCCCCTCTAGGTAGTGGATGATATTTATCGTGCACCTAAGAACCTCATTTATATATGTGTTGCTGCATTTAACCTTCTTTCCCTGCACTACCACATAATCTACCAGCTTTGACGAGTTGGCCTTCTTATTCCCTTTAGGCACCAACTGCCTATATGCACAATAAAACTCCTGGACCCAAGTAGGAATATAGGAGCCTCAGGGCTTGGTGAAGATTTTGAACTTGTGGAACATGCTTGTGTTACACACCTCTAGGTACCGATCTACTACTCCGTCAGTAGATAACCGTTTCTCCTCTAAAACAGTCCTCAAACCCTCGGCCTTTAGTCTATTCAATGACCGGGGTGGGGATGCCTTAACTGGTGGAACCGGAGGAACCAACTCTATAATCGGAGCTTGAGTTGGTAGAGGAGTAGGCTGCAGCGCAGCTTCGCTCTCCTCGTCTGTAGAGTCTAATCATCATTTGGCTCAGAAGCGGAGGCCGGAGATCTATCTCCTCAGTTTCCCTCACCATCAAACTCCCTCACCATTACACTCTGATGTGGTGAGGTGAGTGGAATAGATGCCTCACTATCGGAGCTCGCCTCCGCTGGCGTTGGCACTACAGACCCCTTTCCCTTGCGCTTTCCCCCTGTTGGAGGAAGTTTTGTCAGTGTGCTCTTGGATGGTGTAGCCTCCTCATTTATCACAATGCCCCTACCACGCTTGCGGGGAAGTTGATTTCTTCCGGATACCTTGGGTCTAGCCATACCTATAAATTAAAGTTTAATACATCAGACTTAGTTCAAATATTTCACGGTTGAAAATTGCAGGAAAACTCGCAGAGTCATCCGACGAGCCAAGTCGGGCACACCGAATGTTCCAGAACAAAATTTGTCAAAAATCAGCATCAGTCGGCGATGTCGAGGACCTTTCAGTGAATCGACGACACCATTGGACAAACTAGAAGTAGCTCACCGAATGTGATGGAATATTTTCTAAAAAATAGGGCGCAGAAAGGAGAACTGAAGGGGCATTCGATGAGTCAACGAGTGAACTCGGCGAGCTTACACGTATCGCCGAATGTTACACAATGAATCCCACAATTTTAAAAGATAAAAACGTGATCACGGTTCATTAGGCAAACCGCCGAACCACTCGGTGAGCTTGACCCAGCTCGCCGAATAGTCCAACGTGCCAGAATTTGACCCCGACCTTTAATTTTTAACCCGAAGCCCATGAAAATAAAATTAAGCACCTATTCTATGCAATTAAGCCACAACCCATACTACCCATGACCTAGGGGTACTCAGACTTGCCTCGTTTTGGCCAAAATTGGCCAATAGACGTCTTTTTCCCTTAATAATATACGTCACCCGCCATATCGTTGGGAAAAATCAGACGATCGGCACAATCGAGGTTACTCAGACTTAACACACACTAGACCCAACAAATAGGCAACACAACCCAATATTTTAATCAAGCACACACACATGATTTCATAATTACAGTCCAAAAAATACGAAATGAAATACAATAAAGGCATACATTACCAACAAGCATTCAAACAAACAATATTATGTAACTACAAACAACCATGCATTTGAAATTACCAAAGTTAAGAGGAGGGGTTTGGTTAACCAACCTGATATCGAGTAGGAGAGTGCTAGGCTAAAGAAATCAAGGAAAAATGCACCAAATTCCACCCCCCGAGGAATTGATCCTACACAAAAATGCGATAATAACAAGTACGAAAATACAAGATGTAGTTGTGAAAGTGCAAAAGTTGGAAATTATGAAATGAGGGAGGTTTTTGAATTAAAAATGGTTCATCCCTTTATTGACCCTTCAGTTAACGCGTTGATCGGTGAAGGTCACTTACCTCGCCGATCCATTCGGTGATGCACCGAATGGTTATTTGGCCCGCTGAGTTTTACAAAACCTCTAGCCAACTAGATGGTCCAAACAACGATCTAGATCGAGCTCGCCGACCTGTTCGGCGAGTCACCGACTGACACTGGACTCGCCTAATTGCTCATTTTCCCAAAACTTGAATTTTCAACCTGCACATTTAACACCCGTTATTCAAACACAATAGTAAAATGCTCAAAAACTTTGGTTGCCTCCCAAGAAGCGCCTTATTTAATGTCGTGGCACGACGAAGATACTCATTCAAGGTTCATTCTTAGGATTGGCCATGGTGTTACTCAGTAATCCTCTTTTTGGCCTTGGATTCAAA